GGATTTTGGCGTTTTTAATCCCTGGAGGGTTACTCGCGACCGCATAGATTTTCTACTATGCGACCGCATAGTAGAGTGAACTTCCAAATTGAGTCATTTTGATCCTCAAATTTCATTCCTTCATTCCTTGACCTCCTCTCTTGTTTCTAGTTGCTCCAATGTTCCATTATAACTTCCAATTGGTGCTTAGCTTGATCAATTGCTTAATGTGTTCATCGGATCAACTTTCAGATAATTGTAATTTGATCCTTGAATTTTCATTTTACTTCAATTTGGTCCTTTTTCGGCTCTTTTCTCCTGAATTCCACTATTTCCATAGAATCACCTACATTGCATGAATTTGACAAAATTAAGTAACAATTCAATCATTTTACTTGTATTTAAGTCATGTTTGTGATGTACATAAGTGTGCAAAAACACACTTATCAATATTCTTTTAATGATTCCTATATTTTAATTAAGTTAAGTAGAGTATGGCAGAATACTCTTAATAAGAAATCACCTATATAAATGTGAAGTGGGGCTTTCAACGAAAATTGTTTGAGGCTGTAATTTTCTAAACACCTATGAAACTCAAGAGTGGTTTATGATCAAAATGAATCAAATCATGAGAACTATGAACGGTTTAGGGAAAATATTTGTCTAAGTATTGTTGTCTTGGTTTACCCTAACGGCTAAATGGTTCAAGACATCACATTTACCAGTTTGCTAAGTAAATCCAATAGTATTTTACTAAGGAAGTTTTCAAGCTGAAAGCTACCTTACCTGATGTAGTATTTTTCTACCCTCTCTATGATGCATCATATTTTTTGCACTGCATGAATATATTTGAATTTTCATTCATGTGGGACAATGTTGGAATTTGATTTCAAAACTGTAAAATTTGGTTAAGTATAAAACTTGAAAAGTTGACTTTGTGTCTATTTTGATCAAATATTCGGATTTGATGCAATAATCAAATTATAAAAATAAATAGATTAACTTATTCTACTCATTGAGTAGATCATTCTAATATATTTTGAGTCTCAATACCAATTTCGTATGAATGAGAAATTATAATCCAAAATTGAAAGTAAAAATGAGGAGGAGAAGAAGAAAGTCATATGACACTGCCGCTGAAACACTAGGCTAGCCCCTAGCCTGTAGGTCGAGTGGCAAAGTTGTTGCTCGAGTGACAAGCAGGCAAAAAGTTTTTTTTAAAATATGCTACTAGCGCTTGAGCGAGAGGCCAGCAAGATGCTAGCGATAGTAAGAGATGTGCCCATTCTGTAACTTTATCTTCAAACATTGCTCACAACTTTCTATCTATAATTCTATTTATCTCTGTTACTTTTCCTTCTTTCTCCATCCACGGCTTCATGTAAAATTCCCAAATGATCACTAACATTCAAGATTTTCCCATCCATGTCCACCTCAATATCACTTCGCTTATTCGTAACTCTTCACCCTCTTTTCTTGCTGCAAGTAACCACCACGCCACACCATACCAAATTCTCGCCGTCGACAATCATCATCATGGCTTTCGATTGGAAAATCATCCTTGCAATGGCTTTATGTTGAGCTACGAATGTACAAAATCATTTCAAAAATTAAATAAAAGAATTCCTCACCATTGGGGGGAGAAAAGAGTATAATGGATACTTTAATTGGCAAGTTCCTTGAGCAGTTTTCATGACTTGATTATTTCACCGTTCCTTTACCCAAATCCCTTCGCTTAATGGGTCTCCATTTTGAAGCAGAGCACGCACACACACTCGTCGTTCCATTTTTTCAAGCACCCAGTTGTCTACCGATTTCTGCAGCATCCCCTAATTGGAAAGACTTTTCTATCCTCTTGAGCTTTTCTTGTTGGTCGCACCACTATCTTCTCTATTCTTAAATAGCCTCTACGCTACTACCAGGGGCGGACCCACATGGGGTCATGTGGGGTCAAAGGACCCCACAGTTTTTTTTTTGAAAACGGTTATCCATGAACATTTGGGGGTTCCAATTAATTCCTAGCCGGCTAGCCCAATGTCGAGAATCCATCATCCATATCCATATGATCCAATGACTCCAATCCATTAATCCATAATCCATAGATGATAGACCTAAGACCATAATCCACTCTCCACTCCATTGTCTCCCCACCGATTTTTGATGAGAAAAATGTAGGAAAATCTGAAAACTTAATGAACTCTAAGGCATGAAAAACGTTATCTTTTAAGAGGTGTTTCTTTCCTATCCAACGAAGTCACGGGGTATGATAGAAAATCTCTCTTAGAATACAATGGAGGCGTTTGATTCAAATTGTGACTATTTGATCAAACCAAGAAGACACTCGAAAAAGAACTGATGATGCTAAGAAAAAGAGAGAAGAATATTTTTTAATGTGTTTCGCACATGAGAATTCGCCCAGAATTTATAGAAATTGACGCAACCGTTTGAATAGGTGTGTCCCTTGAAATGAAGAACACATATGTTGGAAGTAGCAGTCAAAATGAACAGACGCACATATTCAAAAACTTTTGAAAATAAAATTCTCTTTCGGGGGCATTGCCCCCGAGCCCCCACGACCCGGTCAGGTGGATCCCTGTTACGCAACGACAAACACTAGTCGGGGCGGCAAATCATTCACAAAACAAAAAAATAAATACATGCAAAATGATGAAAAATATCTAACAATTTCTTCCCAAACAGTAGCGGCGCAGCCGCAAAGGCCAAAGCCTTCATTTTTGACCCCACAGTCCGAAGTCTTTGGGTCCCCCTTGGCTACTACTTCTGCTAGCCAAATTTCGACATGAGAATCGGGAACCAAAGAATACCCAATTATTGTGTCTGTAGCAATATTCAAAATTTGGGATCAAAGAATACTTGATCATTTACAGTTGTTGAGAAGAGACAGATCGAAGAGGATTTCTTGGTGGTGGGGGTAGGAAGTAGGAGGGATGGGTGGAAGGAAAATGAATTTTTTTCTGGTACTTGTTTGCATTTTTTGAAAATTTTGAGATTATAGTTGAAATTAATTCTTTTTTTTATTTAAATAAGAGGGTATATTAATCAATTCACAAGGTTTATATTGAGAAAAATGAAAGAAAATGGGTTCTTCAATACCTCAAATGTCATACGGGAAGGTTTTCTATCAAAATAAAAGAATAGTGGATATTTCGTAATAGAGGCAAAGATTAGGGAAATTTTGCATAAGCCTTTTTCTTTTACACTACTTTCATTTTTTGAAAAATGAGAAAAGAAAGTCGATCACTATTTTTGACATAAGCTAAGTGGATTATCAGCATGAAGCATAGAGCATTAGAATAAATGCTTTTACCAAAAGTGAAATTAATAATTAATAAGATAAATTGACCTAAATTAGGTCATTTTTTCTTTGGACCACTTCGTGAACAATATGTCTATTAATGGATTGACAAATTTGCCTAAGCCATATTGTGAAGAAAATTTAAGTATTATTAAGTCCATCTAATTATGGGATATATTTTCTTTAAATTAATTAACTATTTTCCCCATCCAAGTTTTGGTTGAAGGAAATTTGGGAAAATTATTTAGTACATTTCTCACTTGCATAAATTTTAATTTGTAATTTATATATTATTTTTAAAATTAAAAATATTTATTTTGAGATCAACTAGGTCAAACAGGAAGCATCCATTCTCTCGAAGTTACGAAGCTATTTTGTCGAGTTTCTTAGTTAGTGTTGTCTAGCATCGTAAGTATTCTCTATCTACCCATTTGTGTTGATTTCGAGTGCAGATTCTCTTTTATTTAAAGGTCGTTCAAACTTTCGTATCTCATTTTCTTGCTTGGACACTATTATTCTCTCTTTTTCTAAGATGTTGATATTGATTATCTCATTTAAAGCAAAATTTTATGGTAAATTATTTTTCACAAATCATAGTTTTATTACATGTAGGAGTACTAGTTTGGTAGAATAATCTTTTTGCTTAAATAACTTGGCATTCAAAATCTAGATATTTACTTAGTTTTTAGCATTTAAGATATGGTATGAGAAATGACTTCAAATACTTTCCAGAAATATGCACATCACCAAATTGTGATTTCAATATTGTAGTTGACATGCATCGTCTCTCACAATTAAAAGCATTCAATCATGATTTTATCGTGACACGAGTCTTCTTCTTTGTCGGTAGATCATTATGTACTTATCGCTACAATTGTACATTTTTCATACCAGAATACTTCATAAGAAAATTCCGATTTTTGTACTTTAATGGATACGTTGTACTCCAAAATTTGTATAATTGCATTTTGCCGTGACACTAACCTACTTAGTTATAATGATAAATGAGATTCTACTTGTCATCTAGTTATGACGATAAATAAGATTCCACCCGTCACCAAATATTTTGATGGATACCATGTATTTTGAAAATTTAAAAACTTCATTTATCGACTGACTTATTTAGTTATGGCATTAAATGAGATTTCACTATCATCCAACACCATGGTTAAATTCTCCACCCGTTATGAAAGGGTAAAATTTACCCAAAATACGCATAGAAAATCTGGCATACGTTGAACTTAAAAGAGTACAAACACATGCCAGCCATGTGATGTATGGCATCGTGACACATACAGGGGACAGGTGCTTGGCGTGGAGATTGAAAACAAAAGAAAAGGGAGAACGAAAACGAAATACGTTTCCCTTCCCCACGGACCAGACCACCTACATCGGCGGGTCTTGGGAGTATTGAGTTGAAAACAATGACCCATTTCACAAGAAAAAAGGGCCATTCAGTAAGCCACCCTCGACAAGAATCCATGACAGATTACACAAATTTTTGTTTTTGACATTTCATTTTCATTCAAAATTGATTTTCATTTACATCCCATCACTGGGAACAGCTAAGAAGGAAGAATCCTCATTGCTGACTTAAGAAATTATTTGCATTAACGAAAATTCAGTTTTTACCCTTTTTTTGTTTGTTTATTTATTTTTTTGCATTAATGAAAATTCAGTTTTTACATTTTTTTTGTATAAATTTTTTGTCTGTGCATAAAGATGGAGGAGGTGGCCTGGCCCCGTGGGCTATTGGTGGGGTGTTTTGAGTAAATAAAGATTACTGTCCTCATTAATCCCCCCACCCATCTCTCAGTTTCTGTTCTCTTTCACACCACACCACCCAATTTTTATTTCTCATCTCATTTCAATCTAAAACTCTCTCTATATTTTTTGTTTAAATTTCTGTATTTTTTAATTTTTTTCTTCTTCTAAAGAGTGAAAATAGAGGTGAGTTGGGAAGAATTTTTGATAATTTTCAAAGCCCACATTTTCTTTGGCCGAAGAAATTTCTTTTGACGGTTGTTTTACTATTTTCAGGTCTTAGCCTTAGATCTATTGCTCAATCTGCTACGCTCTTGGCAGGTAAATATATTAGATTGTTTCATTTCTGTATTGATATTTTGATGACACAATCCTGTTAGCTCTTTTTAATTTAATTTATTTTTGTTTAAAATTTAAATGAATTTGGTTTCTGGGATCCTTTTTTTTTTCAAATCATTTTTCTGGATGGGTTTCTTTTTGTTTTTTTGGAAAACAAAAGAATTGTACTGGCTCCTTGAATTTGTAAACCCTTTTCCCCCTTTTCAATGGTTTCAATCTGTTAAGGGTTCGATGTTATCGAGATAATTCATGATTGAGTAGGTTTGATAATTTCTGTATTTGTACCAAAGATTTTATATTTACACTATTAATTTTTTATTTGATTTTAATTTTTTCTTTTACACTGGAAAATATCGTTTGATGCCTAGAATAAAGTTTCTTATCTGTATGTATATATGAGTTATGCTAGTATGTATGCATATTGAAATAAATGAGTGATTTTTTATTTTGTTTTCCTTTTCTATACCTTATAATATTACTGTTTGGTGATATGCATGTTTCAATCTTTACTTGGGTGTAAAGGTTGGGTTGTCATACAAAATGCTAATATATTCATTTTGGTTCTTCAGCTTGTTGGGGTGTTTAAAAACAGCTGATGTCTTTGTATTGAGCTTCTAGTTGTTTGATATTAGAATGTTGATTCTTGTTCAATCTTAAAGCTTTTATTATTTGCTTGGGTTTTGAATTCTGAACAGTGTTTATCCCTGTTGATACAAGGATAAAAATAAGTTCCTATGGTGTAATTAATGCTCTTATGCTAATGTAGTCATGTATTTTGGGTTGGAATTTGTGTTGTGAGTGGAATAAAATATTATTGTTGCGTTGATGAGAAGGAGATGGCCATGTCATTATTTCAGCAACATGACATTAACGTGGAGGCTCTCATGTGCGACTGGGAAAATAATGTGCACATGATGACAAATAAAAATTGTCTGAACATGGTCATATGATGAGAGTAAATTTATTAGATTCTTAAGTATCTGTTTGGATGCAGTTGGTGGTGGTCGATGCACGTGACACTTGAGATACCAATGAAAATGGTACCAGACAGATGAACCACACGTGTCATTAGAGGATTTGATAGAATCTGTTGTAGAAATTAAATGATTTATCCCTCTTACTAGATTTTCTATCTTTACTAATATTAATCAATGATTCCTTTTTTATCTAAAGAATTTTGGCTTTTTAATTGCAGATCATCATTGTTTTATTGGAACCCATTATTTGGTGGTTTTGGTTAACATTCCTTGTTTATTCTTGCTATATGAACTCATTGTGCTTGATGTACTCTTTTGAACTTCTCAATTATTGAAATCTGTCTTTTAAACTTGTGGGTTAATATTTCCAGATTTGCTGAAAAATTACGGTTACGGATATTCTATCTCCATTGTTTTGGAATCTATCTGGAGTGATTGAGCAAATCAAACGGGAGCTTTAATGCAAGGGCAAAGGAGTGCTGTCAGTACACTGGCTGAAAATTTGAGCTCGGATCACGGGTCTACATCAAGTGATGCTGGAATAAATCAGCAGATGTCCTGGAATAATACACAAACTTCTGCTCAAAATCAACTATCAGATTATATGATGTCGAGTGACGCAGATGTTACATATCTTGGCCATGCTAGCCATGAGGAGCAGTCCTCAAGTGGGTGGAATGTGGGTGAAACAAGTTCCAGTTGTGCACGAAATCAGTCTGAACTGGATGAGAGAAAAACAGAAGATGGCTGGCCTTCATTTACGAGTTTTCACTCTGGAGCTGCTCATATATTGGACGATGGGCACTATGAATCATCTGATATTCTCTTATTGGATAATGTTGATGTAAACTCAAATAACAATCAGGCAACAGATGCGTCACCTTTGTTGCAAAATTCTAGTTATGACATCCGTAACGGGGATCTTAACATGGGTTCTGGGTTTGGAGACGAGGAAGATGATGACTGTCAGGTAGTGGAGCGTCCGAACACATTCAAATCCAATGGATCTTCAAATGGACAGATGCCCTTTGCCAGTAGTTCCTCTGATCCTTTTGGGGTTTCCTCTGGTAGTGGTGGATATTTGATGGAGGAAAGTGATGGCAGGCCAGGTTGTTCTATGGATGGTCGACGCTTATCATGCAAAAGAAAAGCCTTTGAAGGCAATGCGGGACAGTCTTCTGGAACCGGAAGTTCAACGTATTTTCAGCATGCTGGAAGAAGTCTATGGCATGCCATGCCAGCAACACAGGGTGCCATGAGCAGCACTAGTATGTCAGCACCAGATGCCATTATTGCCATTGATGTGTCAGATCAGGATTTTCTAATAGAGAGAGATATTGAGAGAGGTCAAGAATTCTCCACAAATGCAAGACTGGGGCTTCATGTTGGAGGATCTGCTTCTACAAGTCCTCTGACTCTGAATGCTTCTGGGACTGCCGAAAGTTCCAGACAAAATTTATGCTTGCAGATAAATGGCTCAAACCAACAAGATTCTATACCTGGCAATCTGTTATCAACAGAGGCTAATGTTGGGAACACAAGCTTTCCATCTTCCCAACAGTCAGCAAGATTACGTCTTCATAATCATTTCTTTGAGTCGAGGCCAGCATCTACAGAAGAAAATGAAGGTTTTCATGTATCATCTGGTTTGCACATTCCTTCGCTGCGCTGGAGTCGACAGTCTAGGCGGTATGAAGCATCTAGCTCAAGAGCCAGCAGTTCATCAGCTTCTGGTATTTCTGGGGAGACGGATGCTGTGCTTTATGAAGAAACTACCACAAGAAGTGTGCCAAGAAACATTTCTGAACATCCCGTGTTTGCTTCTGCTACTGAGATGAGAAATTCATCTGAAAATCCTCCCCAAATGCGTTCAACTGGTGGTAATATCAATGTGGCTGGAAACATTGCATCTTCTTCTCGTGCAGGCTCTATTTCTGGAGTCAACTCATCTATGCCTAATTGGTCCCATCGGGGTTCTCCACAATATCCTCGAAGACTGTCGGAAATTGTTCGAAGATCTTTGCTGACCTCTGCAGGTACCGAGTCTGGGAGTCAGACCAGCAATCGCGCACTGCTGCGTTCTGCTGCTTCCCAGGAGGTGGCAATTTCGTCTGCATCTGATAATCATGAGCATCATTTGCCAAATTCAAGGTCAGCCATGTTGGAGAGACATCTAGATGGAGCTTTTGGAGTACCTTATTCGCTGCGAACTTTGGCTGCTTCCAGTGAAGGAAGAAACAGTAGGCTAGTATCTGAGGTATGTACCGTATCTTCTTATTCTCTGCACTCAATGAACACAATTTGAATGAGCTTATCGTTTTAATGTGTTACATATAGTTGGAATTTAGACTTGATAGATCGTAAACTGGATTCTAAGATTATATTGTTTAATTTGGAATTCTGCATTGTGATAGGAATTCACATTTGCCTTGTAACTAAAATGCTAACGGTTGTGCTATCTTTACATAATGATTTACACACAGATGATGTGGTGAGATATGATTGGGTTAGAATTTCTTCAATCAAATAAAAAAAATAAAAATAAAATTCCAATTATTATTATTATTATTATTTTTTTTTAAATGCTTCATTTGTATGCAAACCATTTTATAACTCCATTATGTACAAATAGTAATATTCATATGCTAATGCTCTTTCCCTACCATCTTTGAACAACCATGAAACACTGGAGTCTCAATTGTATGAAAGACAGGAGAGAGTCAGATGAACTCTTCTCTGCCCCCCTCTATCTTCTATGAGCTTTTGAACAGAACCCTTAAATCTTGTTTCTGTCTTGTCCTTCCACTAGGGCTTCACTCTTTTTTTTTTTTTTTGAAAATTTTTTTCTTCACACATTTCCTTGTGAAACATTGTTGCTGAGACGATTGATATCTAGCCCCTATTTGAGCTCCATTTTAATGTGTTTTTGGAGAAAATGTAATACAGAATGGTGATCCCCCCCCCCCCCCCCCCCCCTTTTTTTTTTTTTTTTTTTTTGAAAATTTTTTTCTTCACACATTTCCTTGTGAAACATTGTTGCTGAGACGATTGATATCTAGCCCCTATTTGAGCTCCATTTTAATGTGTTTTTGGAGAAAATGTAATACAGAATGGTGATCCCCCCCCCCCCCCCCCCCCCTTTTTTTTTTTTTTTTTTTTTGAAAATTTTTTTCTTCACACATTTCCTTGTGAAACATTGTTGCTGAGACGATTGATATCTAGCCCCTATTTGAGCTCCATTTTAATGTGTTTTTGGAGAAAATGTAATACAGAATGGTGATCCCCCCCCCCCCCCCCCCCCCTCTTTTTTTTTTGGAAGAATGTGTGGTTAAAAGATAGGAAAAAATCCAGGTTTATGTGTAATATTATTATATTGAAGAATGTGTGGTTTAAAAGAGGAGAGATAAAGATTCATTGAAATTGAAATGGAGCCCAAACAGGGGCCTAATCTGTATGTGGGCATTTCCAATACCTAATGTGTGGAACGAACTTGTGTTACGTGCTCGTTGATAGAGAATGTCATTATAAGTTGAATTACGTTCCTATTTCTCTTTAACATGCATATGTTTGTGAATCCAAGATGAGATTTTGGTTTACTCAATCAGTTTATATGCTAGTTACCATTGGAAAGAAAAAGATTTCCTATAAGGCTATGTTTTATAGCCAAGGGTTTTCCATGAAACTTGGAAAATCAAGTCCATTTTTCAACTTTTGTAGTGTTTGATAGGATTTGTTTTCCATAGAGAACATTTTCCAACTTTGGGTGCCAACTAGACATTTTCCATGTAATTGAAGAAAATGAATTCTCACTAATACTTGGTGAGAATTCATTTTCCCGGTTACTGTAGCGGCATTTTTTTATTCTGTTTTATTTATTTATTTATTTTTTGGGGTAATGGAAACAAATTTTAAGAATTATTGTAAAAAAAAATATTTCCCTTTAATAGATAATTTTCATGTAAAATAAAGCCAAACGAACACTAAAAAAATAGATGGTTTTTTTGGTTCTTTATTTTTTTATTTTTTGTGGAAATAGAAACAAATTTTATCCCAATATTAGTAAATTTTATCCTTTTAATTGACAATTTTCATGTAAAATAAAGTCAAACGAATACCAAAAAATACTTTTATTTCAACATTTTTCACGTGGAAAATTATACCAATCAAACACAATATATTGACAATATCAGGAAAATAATTTCCAAGCAATTCAATTCTCTGGAATTCGTTTTCTTTTCACCCAAATTCCATCTTTGCAACCAAATGGACCCTATTTGTTTTGAGGAAATTTTTGAATTAAAATAATAATGTTTATTTTGCTTTTTAGCAGATTCGCAATGTCTTGGATCTCATGCGAAGAGGAGAGGGCTTAAGATTTGAGGTTAGATTCTTCAACATCATTCATTGTGAACACTAAATTTTGCAACTGTTGGCGGATTAAGACTTGTGTGCATATAATTTTTCAATCTTGATTACACCCCTCCACTTACATGCTCATATTAACCAGCTCTATTCTATCATTATGTAGCGATGTCTTTTAGTTATAAGTGGCATTAATCGTAGTCATTGTTGATTGGAGTTGAAGGCAGTTAGACATACATAGCATGGATAAATTTTATTTTAAAGGGTGATGGAAGGGGTGTTGAATACAGGGGTGAAGCCAGGACTGTTACTCCGCGCCCCCGCAGGCGGGGGGGGGGGGGGGGGGGGGGCAGGTTGGGGGAAAGAATTAACTTCTAATCAGGAATACACTTTCCATATCTCAACCTAAAAATGTACCCAAATCTCCAGCCAATGAACCAAAAAGTAAAGAACAAGGTTTTAAGAAATCCTCCATATTAAAAAGTTCAAGCAGTTGTTTCTTTGTTTCTAGCCTTAGCTGTTGAATATTTGTTTCCACCTAATTAGTTAATAGGTCTAATTAATTAGTAGATAGTCAAACAAAATATTAATGGCTCAATGTTCTGGAACCTTCTTTTATTCATTGTAACTTCAACCCCAACATACTTCTTTGTAAAGTGTAAAACATAACCATGTCTGCGTGTGCAGTATTCTTTAAATACACGCATATTTCTTTCTTTCTCCAATTTTACTCTCTTTTCTTCCCTCACCTAGCAGATTTCACCTGCAATAAATTCTTTGCTCTTGATTTAATTGGTGATAAGCCTCTTGATCACTCACACAGTCTGTCGCAACTACAATTATAATTTCATAGCCTCTTCCATTGTATCTGCCTTAAATCTCATCTTGAAAAGTTCATAATTTGTATCTTTCTTAGGTATTTGTCTATATTTATTTGTGCATATATAAATGTATATCTGTTCTACTTTCTTTCTCTAATTTGTGTGGTGGCAGTTAAATCCCATCCTTTTTTCATGTTTCACTCCATCTACACCATACCACAGTCAATATAGGCATTGGAAAATCATTTAGCCTCCAAGCCCTCACTCCTAATAAAAATTTTCCCCAACATCCCGTGATGCAAACTGCCCTCAGTGGGCTCCGTGTAGCTCCACCCCTGGTTTGAGAAGTTGACGCACCATCTGGTTAGGCCTGCTATGTTGATTATGGCAATTTGTAAAGATGTCCAACTGCAGTAGCTTGTAGAAATTAGTTGGGCATAATAGTGATCAGTATATTTGTGTTTTCACTGCACATGAGCCTGTTTGGCTAAGCTTAATAATGATGTAGAAGATATAAGTAAATTTTTGTTTCACGAACAGGTATCGATAAGTTATGTTATTCTTATTCTTATTTCCAATTAAAAAAAGTTGGTTATTTTGGAAGTCAGTCTTTAATTTACTAGCAAAATATTTAAGTAATTAACATTTTTATTTATATACATATAAGTAAACTTTTTAAGCTTAGCTAAACATGGTAATGGTCAATCATTCGGGGTTGGCCCAAGATGGTGCTTTTCTCGTTGTCAAAGTGAATGAGAACTATTATGACCATCTTGTTCGAATAAATGGGTGTTCCTCAAGATTTGGATAGATCACTCAGCTGTTCTAGTGTTATTTTTTACTCTTGAGGATATTAAAAATTGGGTTATGCTATATGTACATTATGGTGTCCATAATGTACAAGTAACATAATATCATTGGAGAGTTGAAAAACAGTTTTTTCAATCCGCCAATCATGGAATTTCACATGTACATTATGGACACCCTTATGGATACCATAATGTATATGTAGAATTATCCTTAAAAATTATGCACCCCCAACCCATACCCTGCACCATGGCACTATATCTTCCGCAAGATGGTGGGGTGAGAGTAATGCATGCAAGGTTTGCTCATCATGATATATATATTTCTGTTAAACAAGCTTATAGTTGCAGATGCATGGGATCTGATACGAAATGAAATAAGTTGGAATCTGCGCACTTTACATAGTATTTTGTCTTTTCTGATTTTTTGTACCACTCCTAAGAAAAGAAAGGACGTTTTTCTTGTTTTATATTTTTGTGGCATCATATTTCTGAATCCAGTGGGTGCTTTTGATTGTGCCCTAGGATGTTATGATCCTTGATCAGTCGGTGCTTTTTGGAATGGCTGATATTCATGATAGACATCGGGATATGCGTCTAGATGTAGATAACATGTCTTATGAGGTGAGAAATAAGGATAACTTTATATATAATGACATCAGTTTCCTGATACAACTCGACATTATTTAAAATTATTTGTCTGCCAGGAGTTGTTGGCTTTAGAGGAGCGCATCGGAAATGTGTGCACAGGACTGAGTGAAGAAACCATTATAAGCTGTTTGAAGCAAATGAAATATGTAGACCTTAAAATAGAAGGTCAAGTAGAGACTGAGCCTTGCTGTATATGTCAGGTATGACCTTTTCTTGTTACTTTATGCATCTTTCGTATTCGAGTTGAAGGGAAACTTACGTCATCCGTCCCCAATCTATTGCTAGAGTAGCATTTTGGTCGCAAACCTTTCTTTAGAGTTGCACAATCTGGCCTTAACGACTGGAACCATCCAAGTCTCTATTAAATCTTTGGAAAATGCCATATGTACAGGGGTATGGTTTATAAAATTTTTACGAATACTCACATGGGGTGTGCCCATGTGATTAAAATATTGTCAAAAAATATCACCCTACCCACGCCCCATGTGTGTCTTGTACATACCTTGTGAAGCAGGGCTTATACCTGTAGCTTTGTCCTAAATCATTACGTGACTCATAGAAACATGCTTTACTTCAAATTTCTGGGTATTGGCCCAAGTTGAAAAGCAACATATATTTATAAATATTGGATGGTTTCCCGGACCAATCGTACAACTTTAATGAAAGTTTGAAGTGCCAATAATGCAAATTTCCCCATTTTGTATTCTATGCAATACTTTGGTTTAACTGCGATATTATACCATGCAGGAAGAATATAAAGATGGAGAAGATCTTGGAACATTGGAGTGCAATCATGACTTTCATGTAGAGTGTATTAAACAGTGGCTCATGCACAAAAATCTGTGTCCCATCTGTAAGATGACAGGATTGTCTACACAAGACGGGTAAACAAATCGGGCCACTGCTTTCTTCCCCGGTTGAAACGGGTTGTGGTGTGCGCCGAAAAGTATCTGCTTAATATGGTTGGTATCAGTAAGTGGAGTATGTGTTCATCCAGGGCACAACTCTCCTTAATTTCAGGACAAGTTTCATATTTAATAGTTGCATATACTCAATCTCCTTGTGGAAGTTGAAACTGATAAAACAGAGTAGAACCCTTCTTTCATTTTTAGTCATAAATTGCTTTGGTTTAATCGAAATCTAATGATTTTATGCGGGTGTTATTTTTTGCATTCATTCATTCATTTATTTATTGTGTGCCCTCAAAGTTCTGTCTTGAAGAATGATGCTTGTGAAAGAGCAATAGGTTTGGGGGCTCTGATTCCACGAGTTAAATTGTTCTGGAGTCATCGATGGATGTTACCCTTTGGGGCATATTCAGTTTATTTATGCATGGTTAGTGGTATCTTACGTAGTGTCAATTTTGAAAGATATAACAATGAATTGATTGTGAAGACAAGTCCGGCCTTGTTTGACAATCATTATTTTCAAATTCTTTTTTAGCATATTTATTTTTAATCAAACATTCACACAATAAAACGTTCTGTACATAAATTGAAAACTTTTTCCTACTTTTTTATTACACATTTTTTTTAAAAATCACTATTTAAAACTCTTATTTTCTCCCAAATAATGGGTTGACATGTGACGTTAACCCATAAAAAAGGAAAAAAAAAAAAAAAATCAGATTGAGAATCTGTCGAATTATATGGAAAACTGAAAATTTAAAAGCCAGTTAAATAACTGCAAAGTTAGCTGGCGTACCACAGAAATCGAATGATCCAAACCTTTTCAAAATAAAAGAATTGTTCTATTCATCTATCTAAATTCTTTTGGCATTTCATGAATCAATTCAGATTTTAAAACACTAAATACAAGAAAACATATTTGTAATTCCTTCTTTGACATAGACAATGTCTTGACCCACGCTGTCGCATTTCAAATGAGGTGGTGATTTTCCGATTAGTTGGTGAATCAGAGTGGGACGAAGATCGTAGTTTTCATTTGGACACTCGTATGATATGATATTTTAGCTTCCAAATCCATCTTGCACCGTCTTCTCTCTCAAAAATCTCCAAAGAGATAGCGATCTCAATCTTTACCTCATCTCTATTTCCTTTCCCATCCAAGAAGCAAGTGGGATTGTAAATGTGTGAAGAATTACTTGGGAATCGCGCTTTTATTACTCCATGTTTCAGTTTGGGCTCCATTTTATTCTAAATGCGTTTTTTCTCTTTTCTTTTTTAATCAAACATTCTTCGAAAAAATAACATTATACATAAACACAAAACTTTTCATTTTTCTTTTTAATTACACATTTTCAAAAAATCATTATTCTAAAATATATTTTTTTCCCCAAAACCTCAAAGAAAAATGGTTCAAGACGGTGGAATCCAGTTGGATAAGTAATTAAAGAAGAGTTGAGGTCTACCGTTCAAAATTTGCTGTCCACCAAATGATTAATTGACACATAATTTTACATTAACATATTTAACTTTTTTCTTACTGTTACTTATATTTGAAATTAGGTGACACTTTAATGTAAAATAATGCGTCAATCATTCATTGGTGGATAGCAAATTAGACAATAGATTTCAACTCATGAAATGAAGGGGTTTGACTTTCTCTTTCGGTTGCAACTGTTTGAGACTTTTATTCGAAATAATAAATTACAATTAGTTACGAAATAATAATATTCAAGACAAATTTATGGAATTCACGACGAAGTGAAATGCCTAAAAGCCAAAAGTTCATACACCTCTCTATGAAAATATCAGAGTTAAGGCGGGAGATCAATCAACTTAAACAGGATTACTAAAGATCCATTCTTACATAAAAAAACATTTTCCGAAGGAGGAGAGGTACAGAAAACACACACTTCTCCGAAAAAGACCCAACTTTCAAACTCTCAAAATCTTGGCGAGAAAAAAAATCTTGAATTGGGTTTCAAAGAAATAGCAAAATCAAGCAGCACTTGAGTAGAACTTTGTGTATCCTTAACTTTTAAAGAGTGTGTGTGTGTGTGTGTGTTTTTTCCAAATATAGTAGAACATAATTACATATCAAAGTTTGAAATTTATTGCCCATAAATTTTGTGTTTTTGGGACTCTGCCAAATGAGTTAGTTCATGAGATAAAATTGAGTACATATATCCATTTAATTGTCATATTTTTTAGTTTGTAGAGGTGCGCTTTTGAAGATAATATTGACAAATACCAGAAAAGTTTCGAATACAAATTCTAGGATTTTTTTGGGATGAATTCGTGATGATAATATTATAGTGTTGAAATATTAAAATGGCCGATCTGTATGGAACCAATGAATCAGAAGACATGTCTTCTTTTCTTCAATTTCTTCTTCAAAATTCATCATCGGCTGTTACTACTTCTTCCCCAGCTGATGGTCTGTTCTGCGGCATCGGAGCCTCGGCTCCAGTTGCGGAGTGTTCGTCTGCCATCAATTTCGCAGATCCCAGCAATTTCTTTGCCAAAGTATTTGATTGGATCGGTTCTTCTGCGAAACTTGGAAATGTTGGTTCTTCCTTCGAGGTAGATTAATTCGAGCCTTTTTAGGTGTATTGAAATTTTTTATTGGTGTTCAGTTTTGGGGTTTATGAGATTTTTTATGTGAACTCTTTGTTTTTTAAATTTGACTTTAATTTTAGTTGATAATACTTCAGTAAATTTGAATGAATTCAGGGCTTTTTAAGGAGTGATTTTCAGTTTGGTTCATATGTGATCTTTGTGTTAGATTTTTTTTTTTAAATTTCACTTTAATTTTAGTTGATAATACTTCAGTAAATTTGAATGAATTCAGGGCTTTTTAAGGAGTGATTTTCAGTTAGGTTCATATGTGATCTTTGTGTTAGATTAATCAATATTAACATGCAGCTCTATTAGCAGCATTTTTATCTGTTTAGCGACAATATTCATCTTTGTATATTATGAAATTTGTTGTAGAGTTAGCATAAAACTAATGTGTATTATATCTTTGATAAATCTGTGGTTTTTATGTTTAAATGAAATTTTCAAATAAGAAGGGAGCTGAAGCTTCGGATATTCGAGTTAAGCCACGTTCCTCAAAGAGGAGTAGAGCAGCTGAGATTCATAATTTATCGGAAAAGGTTTGCCTTAATCTGAATCTGAGTTTTTATCTGTGAAGATTTCGACCTGAGCTTTCATACAACTAAATGATTTTTGTGTACAGAGGAGGAGAAGTCAGATAAATGAAAAACTCAAGGCACTTCAAAACTTAGTTCCGAATTCTAGTAAAGTAATTATTGCATACCTTATCTTCATTCTCCAGCTTTAATCTTTCGTGGGTTATCATTTCACTTAGTGTAGTCTTCATTCAGCTGATTGAAATGATTTTGATGTTCGTTTCTTAGACTGACAAGGCATCAATGTTGGATGAAGCTATCGAATATCTGAAACAACTTCAGCTACAAGTACAGGTTTGAGTTTCGGTTCACACTTCTGTTTCAAATTCCAAGATCTCTATGTGATATGCTTTAAAATATTACATGTTTTTTTTTTTTTTTTTTTTTTTTTTTTTTTTTTTTTTTTTTTTTTTTTTTTTTTCTTTTTTAAATAAAAAATAATTAAGAAATACTCATGGTAACCATTCGAGCCGACGAAATTAGTAATATTATCCGTGAACGTATTGAACAATATAATAGAGAAGTAAAGATTGTAAATACTGGTACCGTACTTCAAGTTACATTTTTTTTTTTTTTTTTTTTTTTTGTAATTTTGGTTTTATAGTCCATTCATACGACTGCCATATTTGAACTGCTTGGATGAAGATTCATGAAGCTCTTTTTATCATTTGATATGATGCTAGTTTCAATTATGTCATTTTATATCAATCTTGGTCATGCTGTTCTCGTTAGATCTTGCTTACTAGTGTACGAGATTTACAGGCACCATGTTAGTTCTGGTTTCTCCCATGTTCATTCTTTGCCTTGGTGGGATGATTCAAACAAACTATGGCTTTATCTGAAACCTACCAAATAACCCCACACTAACACATTAGAATGTTGTATATTTATCAATCTTATATGCGACATACAAGTCGTTCCTCTGCTATATTAAATTTGTATGATATGTTAGCGGAGACCTTACCTTGGCCTATAGCTTACTGTGTCATAACTTTAATGATGTAAAAAACGTAACAATTTGACAGCAAACGATTAAAGAAGAAAGGGAATGAGAAAGAAAAAGGGGAAACAGAAGATTTTAAGGCAAAAGAATGTCAATTTATTTCATATGTTTGATGGCACCTATTACAATGAATAAACCCTCTTTATATAGAGCAAAGAAACTAAAATCAAAAGAATATCTAGTAAACTAGAATTTTATCAAATTATTAAAAATAATGTAATGTAATCTAAACAAACAAAATTTTGAATCAAGCTCCACTTTTAAAATCCTATCTAATTCTATCCATATCTTCATTATTTGCCTTTTTTGATAGTCAAACTTCAACTTTTATTTCACCCTCTGTGACAAGCATTAAAATTTGATTGTAGCAATGAAGTAGTGAGAATCTCTTGTTTATCAGAAACAGCCCCAAAACTTTTCGATAAGGGAGTCTACGAGTTGAGTTTTAGTCTTGAACAGGCCTGGTTTACTGTTTACTAAAATACAAATCCTGCGAAGACTCCAACCATATATGAAGCCTGAGATCGACCCTGTACTAAAAGGTCAAGGAAGTTGGTGATATGTTGATGCAGGACACGGGATTCAGGAACACAAGTGCGAGCGAACATTGTAGTTACAATAATGGTCCTAAGGAGTTAAATATCTACCCGCACTAATTGCATATGAATGTAGTATTCTCACAACGAGACTCGATCTGTGAACTCGTTTATCCTTCATTTGAACTTGTTTGTCATAGAAATCCCTTTTGCAGATGTTGACATTGAGAAATGGATTGATCTCGCATCCAGGCTACTCACCAGGGTCGTTAGTGCCCCAATCTGTTGTTGCCTTCGATGAAGGGAACATATTGCCTAATACAAGCAGACAGGCAGAAACACTTTCTCAGGAACAAGAAATGTTTAGACAAACAGCATTTGATACTTCCCATCATGCTTCCTCGACCCAGCAAATTGTCATAGACTCCATGATAACAAATTCCAATTCACAAATTCCAGCTGGCTTCACACTGCCTGCTCGAAATAATTACGGACTTCGCAATAATCTGGCATCTTTCAAGGTAATACTGTTCTAGTTTTGAAGTAAACCCTGATCTCCGATAATAGATTTCGATCTATTGTGCATTTGGCAATTGACATCATGCTCCCCACAATTTGCAGGATATTTGTTGGGATGGTACACTGTCACGCTTCCAGTTGGATACAAGTTTCTTAGGTAACAATCCATCACCAGGCGTGTCTTCATAGAGAATGAGTAAACGATGTGAATGATGTATTAGACTGCTGGTAACCATCTGAAATGTGAAATTTACCATTGTTTGGACATCTTAGAAATTGCAAATTAGCCTGGAAAGTTCCAAGCATACTGACCTTTTAAGATAAACTGTGTCAATAAGGCTCTAGAGAAGCATGAACTTTCATGTAATTATTGACCTCTTTTTAAATTACTGTAACATTTTTAGAATATTTTAATGTTCAGAGTCACTTTCAGTTGCAAAGCTTTAATGAACTGTGCTACAAATACCGTAATGTACCTTTATAAATTGGTTTTAGTCTAGTTCTTTCAATAGCGTTACTCGTCCAGGCTTGGGGTGCTGGTTCACTTTGGCACCTCTAGTTATGTGAGGTTTCACATTCTTCTCCACGAATTAGATCCCATTTTAGAGCGCTGTTGAATATGTGACCCAAATTCCGACGTTGGTTCGTATTTCGGTTAAAAAATAAGTTAAAGAGGAATCGAAGTTGACGTTTGGAGCAGCAATTGGGTGCTTGGGCACTCAAACGGGGTGCCTGGGCATCAAGAAACGGATTTTGGGACCGAAAGTCCGAAACTCCGCGCCTAAGCACCATTGGCAGAGTCGGGTTGCCACTCACTTGGAGCCAGGATAACGCTCGAGTATCGCGCGTCCCTGACTTGGAGAGAGGTGGCAGCCTTATTTGGAAAAGTTTTGTTTCCATTTTTTTGGTTTTTTTTTTTTTTCTCATATTCTTTTGTGTCCTATATATACTACACGAATCATATGACTTTGTATATTGAATTAGACAATTTTATAAACACAATATTTTGTATTATTTTTTCCTTATGATAAATTCTTTATTTCTCTATCAAATTTCTTGTGTTCTTCTTGTCTTGTGATTGCTATTTCATATTATCCATATGAACTAGCCTTCGTTTGTCAACTATTTTATCACATTTTATCACATTATTTTTTCTATAGTATTCATTTTCAACCACATTTTTTATTAAAATAATATTACACATAAGTAAAAAACTTTTTCTTCTTTTTAACCACGTATTTCAATATCAATTACTATTTCATAATACAAATTTTGAAATTAAAGGGCACAAACAGGTCCCTAATCTTCAATTCCTAACAAGCGCCATGTTAATTACTAAGAACAGATGGATGGAGAATGGTATCTTCTTCACCTATCGTTGGACCTGACTTCATAAGCCTCGGTTTTTGCGTTCCAAACTTTTATGAAATGGATTTATTGAACACACAACCAACTTATTGTTAAGCGATTAGTAGTTCTCATGCTACAAGCAAGGCCGTAAAATTTTTGAATTTTTTTTTTTTTTTTTTATAAAGAAAGTAGTTGTTTTAACCCATTTATGACATATTTTGACGCATTCATACGGAATTTCAAATGAAGTTGAAAACATTACATTCTTAATACTATTTTGAAGTGCTCATTACCTAATTTTTTGATTGTTAATAGCGTTCCAAATGATCAATTGTAGCAAAAGTTACGATGCATCAAAGTAGATAATTCTAAATTAGTATTTCAAAAATTTCGATAATATGCCAACTTACCAAATTCATCGATGATTGTCAGTGGTGGACCCAGCTGTTTTGTGTTGTGAGGTCAAAAATTAGAGTCGTGTTACAGTGTCCACACGAATGACCGCAGGGTTGACACAACACACACACATGAGGTAGGGATTATTTTATTCATGGGGACCCTGCTGGGCATGTGAGGGCACGGTCACTTGCGAGTTCATCCTCGTGGGTTGTGCTTCGCTCCAAAAATTAATGTGTAATTTTTTAAAACAATATAATATTTATAAAAATAAGTTAATACGTATTTTGACATCTTGAAAGTGTCTTATAATCCTAGCATTACCAATATTGTTAAATGAATTTTGCTACATGTATAATTTTGTTTATCATGTCATTTATGGATATTGAGCTAACGACAAGTAAATCAAATTGGATGTAAGAAGTAAATGAAATTTAAGTTTAACAAAAAAACAATTTGAAAGTAATTCAAATTACATTTAATCCATAACGATTTTAGAATTTTGGACATCATATTTAATGTAAAATTTCCTAATAAAATGATGTAAATTATATTGGAAAATTTATCGTGAAAAAATAATAAACATTAATGAAATAATTTTTTATTTAAAAAGACGAGTTAAATGTCTCTTTTAATACGTACGTTTGACGCATATTTAACTATTTTCGATATCTGTTTGGACCATTCGATATAACTACAATGTAGTTTTCATAACGAACTTTTAGATGATGCAATCGATTTATAGATGTGGATAGTATATGATCATTGACAAATTTTAAAAGTTAGCATATTATCAAAATTTTCAAAATACTAATTTGGAACGGCCTACTTTAATACATCGTATCTTTTGCTATGGTCAATTATTTCGCACACTATTAAGAAGTAAAAAACTAGGCCATAAACGTTTAGAAATGATATTAAGAATTCAATATTTCGATTTCATTTGGTATGTATTAAAGTGTGTTGAAAACGGGTTAAAACAACCATATTTTGATGAAAAAAAAAAAAGCAAAACAAAATTTTGTGGGTTCATTTGACCCCACATGACCCCACGTGGGTCCGCCTCTGATGATCGTATACTATCTGAATCCATAAACTATCCACATTGTCTAAAAGTTTGTTTCGAGAACTACATGGTAGTCGTATTAAATGATCCAAATGGATATGTATATAGTTAAATATGTGTCAAACATATGTCTTAAAAGAGACGTTTATCTCCGTTCTCTCTTTTTTTTTTTTTAAAAATTCAATTATTTCATTAACATTTCTTATTTTTGGACGATATATTTGTCAATATAATTTACATAATTTTAATAGAAAATTTTGCATGAAATATGAAGTAAAAATTTTTAGGATCGTTATGGATTAAATGTGATTTGAATTACTTTCGAATTATTTTCATGTTAAATTTAAATTTCATTTACTTCCTAGATTAAATATGAATGTTATTTCAATTCATTTACTTCTTACTTTCAATTTGATTTACTCACCATCAGCTCAACATCTATCAACAAAACGGTAAACAAAATTACACAATTAGCAAAATTAATTTAACAATATTGATAATGATATAATTGTAAGATGTTTTTAAAATATCAAAATGCGTATTAACTTATTTTTATTAATATTAATATTATTTTTTTTTACAAGAAATTATACTTTAATTTTTGACCCCACAACATAAGAGGTCTAGGTCTGCCTACAAGGCTTTCTATTTCATGAGTTTAGTAGGTTTTTTAAGTCTACTGTCAAATTGTCTCAAAGATTATGAGTAAGGCCCACTCGTATTCATTTGTGGTTTTCACACGAAATGATACTTTTTTTTTTTCCTCCATGTCGACAACATCTTCGTTGCTAGCAACAATGATAAATTTGTCATAATTTGATTGCTCAACTTGGTCAAGAGTTCATCATCAAGGATCTTGAATGGCTGCACTATTTCCTCGGAGTTGAAATTAGACAATTTTCTAGCATATGATGATTGAGATGAAGTTTCCCTAGTTCGTTGCCACCAAGACTTTGCTCATCCTCTAAATCTTGTGGCCACAAATGAAGTTTTCTTGCAATTGGGGGTATCCTTAAAGTCGAGGATCTCCTCTACACACCCAATTAGAAACTTATCTTGAAGTGAAACTTCGTGATACCAAGTTACCAACCTTGAAATGCGATTTACAATGCTGCACGTTGGATTCGAACCTTGGACTAATTGGATTGTGCCCATAACTTGTATTAAAAGCGCATTTTGTAAAAACGCGACTTTATTAGTTGGAGTGCCTTACTTGGATGTGCGACACTTGGCTCCATATTGGCTGTGGATTGCTGATTTCTGGAATGATCTATGGGCTTATCTTGGTTTGCCATTTCACTTGGCAACTCAGTTGAAACTTTTCTCCGACCTTTTGGTTTTCTAAGAGAAACTCTCTCTAATGCTAGGGTTTCATCTTTCAATTCTTCATATCTTAAAGTTCAGATTTGAGAACCAAGGTCTGTAATAGTTAGCCTTTGATATGTGGTATTCTGAGTGGATATTTGTTAGAATGAGCGTGTTCATTTGAGTAGTCATTTTCAGAGAGTTATGTGAAGTTTTCTTGGTGATTCTTCGAAAATCTTCAGTTGTACCAGAAGAGATAAGTGATTCTGTGCTATCTCCGTGTATTGATTAAACTTTTGTAACCTTTGTTGCCATTCAGGACTACTTAGTGCAATCGAGCAAAATTCACTTTATCCGATGCTCAACATCGGATGTAGACATCAAAGTTGGTCCTCGAACCTTCGGGCTTAGGTCAAAAGAAATCTCGTGTTCAATCTATATTTTCTGCACTTTTACTTTCTACAAGATCTTTTTATTTTGCATTTTGACACTAATCTTCCTATTGCATTACCAACATTGACTTGTCACCTAGACGACCTTTTTAAGAAATATCACTATGCTCTTAGAATTTTTCCATGTGTACAGAAAATAAATGTTTCCACATAAAACCTACAGAAATCTCACATTGAGGAGGGTTCCAACGAATAAAATAATGCAAAAACTCCACCCACTGTACTGTTGTCTCTGTTTAATATCTGTTCTGTGTGTAAATTTTCTGTACACAAAGCAACGTCCATGCTCTTATGACAAACCAATGCAACATAAAGCGAATAAATGGTACACATATCGTGTTCGTACTGAAACGAGATAGGTATCAATACTCTCATCAAGGGTATGTGATGAGTGATTTACACTCATTATATTATGCCATTAATTTCATGATTTTGCTATCTTAGAAAGTATTTTAGAAGTGCTAACAAGTGATTTTGGTGTTGTTTTGTAGATTGATGGAAGTGGAGAAAACAAGAGCTAAAAAAGGTCAAAGGAAGGAAATAGGCAAAAGCTAGTGAAATTGGATGAAATGACCAAAACGTAAGAGATCCAAAGTTCGAGAATTAAAATGCAATTAATCAAAAGTCGTGTCGAAATTTGAAATGAAGATCCGAGAGTTCTAGAAGACAATTGGATGAAGGAAGGTGTTAAAGGGATCAAATTTAGTCAAAATATGATCATAAATCATTTTCCAACCAAAAAGTTTTGCGCCGGAGTTTTGGTCTCACATTTTGACTCATTTTGACATAGAAAACGATCGAATTGGAGAATGATTCCTGAAGTAAAATTATATTCCTTTGAATTATCTTTCCAATGCATCTTGAATCACTTCAATCGGATATCGAACGAAAAAGTTATGACAAAAATATTGAAAACTGTCTAGTGCAACCGAAGTAGTCCTCAGCGCCTAAGCGCTATCCCTCAGCGCCCAGGCGCCATGATGCTGAAATTTTGACAGAAAGTCAGCGCCTAGGCGCCCAAATTGCAGTGCCCAAGCGCCGCCGTGCGAGAGTAGTTTTTTTAGGTTTTTACCATTCTTTTTCGACCCAACTCATCTCCAAATCTTTCCCTAAACTCCAAGACATTATAAACATAGAATTGAAGACCTAAATTAGAGGGGAGCCACACATAAAAATCTGTGGGATCAAGCCACGCGTTCTTGATATATTGGAGAGAAGATAACAAGAAGGGAGATTGAAAAGAGAAATTCAAGAAGATTAACACCAAGCAATTGAAGATTAGAAGCATTCATTGGAAGGGGAAGGAGATCTTGGTGCAATAATTCTACTTTTTCTTCTACATATTTATTACAAATTCGGTGATGTATTCTAAGACAATTTTCTATTTTTCTTCCATTATTATGAGTAGTTAAATTTGATTTTAGGGCGAATAATGTAATCTTTTGGAATCCTTTATTTCATGCAATTGAGATTCTAGTACTTTTATATTTTATGTGTTGATTTTAATATTGTTCTTAATACATTTAATTATTTGATCACTAATTAGATGATTTGTGAACAATAATTGCGTAGAGATGCAGATTATTTGTTTAGACCACATGTTAAAATTCGGTAAATTGATATAACGTGTAGAGATACATATATTGATTGCTGTGGTCGTGTGTGAATTCTTAAAACCAATGTTTTGTTTAATTAAATTTAATTTGCATAGAGATATAGAATTAAACTAATTAAATAGGCTCAATAAGAACTCGAGAGGGGTAAGTTGAATACAATAGAAGAATTCAACCGAAAACTACCTTAGGTTTTATGAATCTTGATTTATGAAGTAAAGGTGACCAATAGATGAAATTGTTCCGTCCTAACGTCCATTTATTGTTTGAATTCTCAATCACTTTTCGTTGAATCCAATCGCATTTTTAAGTCTTTAGAATAAAAATCACATTTAATCATTGTTTTTGTTTATTTTCGTTAAATAGAAGTTAGAAATAATAAATTGGGCATTAAAAGTACAGTTCTCGTGGGAACGATAATCCGGACTCAAAATGTCCATTTTACTACTTATTACGATCCGTTCACTTACGGGATAAAATCGACAACATTATGCATACCAAAGTTCATAGATATCACCGCCATCCACAAGAAAAAGAAAAGTATTGAAGCCAACTTTTCTATTGGAATAATTATATATTTCACACCACATTTTAATTGTAAATAAGATCCTCAATATTTAGTCATTTTTGTGCTTATGCCTTCATTTTCTTGTTGCATTTTTAACCTTATCCTACAATTAAGTAGCATATTTTATCCATACGAGGATTTTTGTCCAAATATTCTGCTAGTGCATCAAAATGAATATTTTGTCAAACTTTTTTATTTGTTGTATATTTTGATTATTTAAAAATCCCAGAGACAAATAAATTTCTATTTGGCACTCATTAAAATTTTAATACATTTTTCTATTTCTTCATTTTAACCGTTCTCCAATAAACTAATATTATGCGTAAATCAAATTTTTCTCCTTTTCAACCACTCATCCTTAAAAAAATAAAAATAAATAACATTCCAAAAATTATAATCTCAAATAATAGGGGCCAAACAGGAGCTAAATCTTTTTAGTCCTAAGCCTTTTTTGGACAGAAATCGTCAACAGAAACAAGATACGTAAACTAATGGAAGGTTGAAAATAAGAATATGATGAAAAAGTGGGGACCCTAGTTCAAAAATGAGCAAAGATTAGAGACTTTCATTGCAATTAAAATATGGTTTAGTTAACAAATGCCATGATGCGAATATCCATTATTATTTTCAGGACATTTATTCTGTGACTTTTGCCTTCCTCTGCAAGTCTATGAATTTATTTTTAACCTTATAGTAGTGTTGTGGTAATAAGTGGTTGCTTTTTCAGACGGAAGTATTAAAGAATACTGAAAAATCTAAAGTTTTATTCAATGTATTTTGTTAAGGGATAAAATTTCATATCGAATAAAGATTAAACCAACTTATGAGGAATTGGTTTACTTCTCTTAACACATGAAATTCCAAATGGGAAAAATTCATAAACCATGTATTAACTATGCACAATTCAAAAACCATATTTCAAGTTTAACTAATTCAAAAATCAGGTTTTTATCTAATTAGTTAAAAATATTTATTATATTAAATATAATAAAATCACAATTATATAATTAATGGTCATATGCACACAATTATAGGTCACAGATTTATTCATTGATCACATATTATCAAATTAATTGGTCACAAATTATTTCGAGATCACGAATCAAAACATTGATAGGTCACAAATTATTTCGTGGTCACGGATCACAATTTATCCATCAATTTTATAGGTCACAGTTTATGTTATTCGTCACAAATCCAAAAAATTATAGGTCACGGGTCACATATTTTCAAATTTGATGGTCACAGATTACTTTTTAGTCACAAAATGATTGAATTTTAAGTCACGGATTAATAATCAGTCACGGAGAGACCAAATAATTGGTCACAAACATCAAACACCCAATCTCGATCCACCATAGTACTTGGTCACAAACACTACCCTGACCACAACAACATTACAATCACCGCCAACACCAACGATAACAAACCCACAACCTCACCACCGTCTCCACCTCCAAAAACCACCATAGCCACTAGGACGACCACCACATCAAGCACCACCACCAAACACAACCAACAATACACCATTCCCAACTTCACCAACACCAACCAAATCACCACCACCAACCAGATACCCACTGCCAACTGGAGCACCGTTGCTATCATCACCACCACTGCATTCCTACCAAGATTCATCACACCACCATCACCCTCACAAAGTCACCAACACCACCCAAAACATAAAATGCACCATACCAGACTCCCAACATCGCTACTTAGATCCACCGCACAAGACTCACCACCACAATACACCATACCTCCACCACACCAACGTCGCTACGTCACATTGTCGCCATTCTGCTGTTCGCAGCAATGTCGACCGGCAAATCTGAACAGAGAAGAAGCGACGCTCACACTCCCTTGCCGTCAACATCGTTAGCAGAGAAGAAGCAGTGAAACCACGATCGTGCAACAACGTCGGCAATGGAGTTGTGCGAAATGGCGGCTGCACCTCCGATGCCGTGCCTCAACGCCTAAGGTGTCATGTCACCGAAGACGAGAAACTCTTGCAGAGAGACGTGAAATGAGAGAGATCCAGAAAGGGGGAAACGAATTTAGGGCTGGGGTGGGTTAATTATAAGATTATTATTAATATTAAAATATATAATTAAAACCTGATATATGCTTAATTAAACTTTGTACCTGGTTCTTTAAAAGTGGTCTTTAAAGACCTGCTCCCATGTAATTTTCCCATTCCAAATTTTAATATAGTACTAGAGCCTATTAAATTCCGACAAACAATTTGATCCGTTTAAGACTTTAAAAAATGAGCAAGAAAATTTCAAAATTGGTTTGGAAATCTTTAGAAAGCCCATTTTATGAAATTTCTAAATGATCAACAAGGAAATTTGCTTGTATTTTCTTTTCTGTCCCTGTCTGGCTGCTTCTTTTTATACAGTTAATTATAAACTAGGTTAAAAGATTCTGTTATGAGTTAAACTTGCACAAAGTTTCTGTGTACACTTAATTTTATATAATCTTTCCTTCTGTCAGTTTTAATGCCTCCCCCCTTTTCCATTATGATCGAAGAAATCGTGTCACGATGTTTAATTCTTTACAGCTATAGGATTCTATAAAATAATGATAGACAACCAGCCACTTGGAAAAAAATAAGGAATTGAACACGAGTAGACAAGAAGAGAAAGACCCGGTAAGAGAAAAAACAAAATGTCATTAAAATGATATTCACATTCTTATACGAATCTATGATGGCTAGAGAAATAGCCATAGTAGACTTATATACTTTGATTGGTCGTTCTTTAATAGTTGTAGAATTTTTTTAATATTTTTACGACATTTTGCAATGGCAAAAGGCCACTTCTCACTGTTTGTAGCATATAAAATCAGATCCCAGGCACTTTAGAATCACTAGAGCACTGCATTTAGAAAGAAATGGGAATTGGTCAAGCAGTGTCTGTTCTCCTGATCTCATTGTTTGTTTGGTCTTATCATTCTTCTGAGGCTTCAGAAGAAAGGTCGACATACATTATCCATATGGACAACTCCTTGATGCCTATGGCCTTTCCTAGTCACCGTCATTGGTATGCTTCTACCTTAACATCCATCAAATCAGTCAGCCCTGAATCGTCAGAGGGGCGTAATCTTGGGCCGAATCTGGTGTATACCTATCAGAACGCCTTCCATGGTTTCAGTGCAACTTTGTCAAAAGAGGAGCTGAAAGCACTGAAGAAGTCACCGGGGTTCCTTTCGGCTTATGTTGATGGGGAAATCATACCTGATACTACACATACCTACAAGTTTCTTTCCCTCAATACTGCCAGCGGATTATGGCCAGCATCTGAATACGGGAAAGATGTTATCATTGGTGTAGTTGACTCTGGTGTGTGGCCAGAAAGTCCAAGCTTTAGAGATGATGGAATGACAGAAATTCCAGCACGATGGAAGGGGACTTGTCAATCAGGCCAAGATTTCAATTCATCATTGTGTAACAAGAAACTCATTGGAGCTAGATATTTTAACCAGGGAGTTGTTGCTGCGTCTCCTGACATTAAAATAAGTATGAATTCCACGAGGGATATTTTTGGTCATGGCACACATGTGTCGTCCATTGCAGCGGGAAATTATGTTGAAAACGTTTCATTCTTTGGCTACGCTCCAGGAACAGCAAGGGGCGTTGCTCCTCGTGCTCGGCTCGCTGCTTATAAAGTTCTTTGGGATGAAGGAAGCTATGCTTCTGATGCTCTTGCAGGCATTGACCAGGCTGTGGCTGATGGTGTAGACATCCTCTCAATTTCTTTGAGTTATTTGACAATTGATTTGTACGAGAATCCGATTGCAATTGCTGCTTTTGGTGCCATGGAAAAGGGTATACTTGTTTCTGTCTCGGCTGGAAATCGGGGTCCAAATTTCGCAACTTTACTTGAGGGTATCCCGTGGGCAGTGATTGTCGCATCAGGAACTGTTGATCGTTGGTTTGCTGGGACGTCAGCTCTGGGAAACGGCTTAACCATCCAGGGTTGGAGCACGTTTCCAGCAAGAGCCACCGTCAGGAACTTGCCTCTCGCGTACAATAAGACCTTTTCGGCTTGCAATTCAACCGAGTTATTAGCAGACGCTCCGAGTAGTATTATCGTATGCGTCCAATCCGATCAAACTGCAGAATTCAATGACCAAATGAGTTACATTTCTGAGTCCAACGTCCCCGCAGCTATCATAATTTCTGAAGATACTAGTATTCTACGCTTCACTGACTTTCCTCATCCGGGAGTCGTAATCTCTCCCAAAGATGCAGACAAGGTGATCAGGTATGCCTCAACTAGCTCAGAACCTACCGCGAGCATCCAGTTCCAGCAGACAATCCTGGGGACAGAGCCCAGGCCTGCTCCTGCTGTATCTGCATCATCTTCAAGAGGTCCAGCACGTGCCTATCCGGGAATTTTGAAGCCCGATTTAATGGCACCAGGGGTATTAATCTTAGCAGCCTACAATCCTTATAATTCTGTGGCGACTATTGGTTCCAATATAGCCTTGTCTAGTGATTATATTATGGAATCAGGTACATCAATGGCCTGTCCTCATATATCCGGCATTGCTGCGCTCTTGAAAGCCGCACATCCTGATTGGAGTCCGGCAGCCATTCGATCTGCCATGATGACCACTGCGAGTACATTTGATAATACTCGAAAACCAATCAAGGACATGGGGCATGATTATGATGTTGCTACACCTCTTGACATGGGAGCAGGACAAGTTGATCCGAATCGTGCGCTTGATCCAGGCCTAATTTACGATGCCACACCCCAAGACTACGTAAATCTCATTTGCGCATTGAATTTCACACGTGAACAAACTCAGACCATCATAAGATCAAATTACAATTGCTCCAATCCGTCGCTTGATCTTAATTACCCATCATTTATAGCTCTATACGATCCACAACCAGAAACGTCTACCTTAACGCAGAAATTTCGGAGGACTGTGACAAATGTAGGCAAAGGTGCAGCCACATATAAAGTGAAGGTGATAACACCAAAGGGTTCTGTTGTCACAATATCCCCGAAAACATTAGTCTTCCAAAACAAAAACGAGAAGCAGAGTTATTCTTTGACAATACGTTACAAGACTTACACAGAATATGTGATTAATCATGGTTCAATCGTATGGACTGAAGAGGCTGGCAAGCACACAGTAAGAAGTCCCATTGTGGTGTCTCCAGCCCAACCCTCTTGACTTTTTTTTATTTTTATTTTTGTAGGTATTTTTCTAAAAATCTGGCTCTTATAATCGAGTATTCTATGTATTGTCCATTGAACTTTTCAATTAATAAGAAGCATGATCTGTGATTGATCACTTGTATGATTAGTTGCAAAGAAAAATGGATCAAATATGAAAAGAAGATACTTGTAAGTAGAAGTGGAAGGCATCACTGTTTTTTGGAAAGAGATGTAACTATGCTGAAAAGACAATTATCTAATCCCACATTAGCGATTACTGCTTCCAAAATAATCCAGTGTTTTTGCCCTATTATAAAACAAGCGGGCACTATTTGTAGACACGTGAGATCATCTTAAGAGGGTTTGACCGAAGCTAGTGGCTAGAAATGAAAAGTAAGAGCATCTCCAATGCAATCGTGGATTGCTTATACACTTGTTAAATATGCAAAATAGATAGAGCAAGTGGACAAGGACACCATCAAAGAATTAAATAGACAATGTGCAGAGCTTGGTCTAGATGAAGAAGCTCCGATAAACGATCCATAGAAAGCATTCGAGACAGCTGGATAGTAATAAATAGAATGCATTGGAGGCCATTTTAAACTTGAAATGCAGTCTATAAAATAGAGGCAACTGTGCATTGTGGACGTTTTTTTATAGGAACTAAGGAATCTATTTAGCTGGAGAAAGCACATGAACTCATTCTCAAAACATTCAAAAATACAAGTTGGATATACTAATTTTTTGGCCCTTAATAAGTAAGCTTGTAGAGCGCGGTGCAGTTGGCTTGTTGATTGACTTAACTATGCTATAAGGGCTTGTAACTAATCGTCATCTTAGTAGTTTTTCTCTTCCCCTAAACTTCATTCAATCCATCATCTCACCTGTAAGTCGAACTACTTAAATCACTCCATATGGTCGAGATTAATTAAAATGAGCTTTCCGATAAAGAAATTCAAAGAAAGCCCTACAAATAGACATAAAAAAAGGAGCAAAGAGCACCAAGAAAGAGACTCTTTACACCACTTAGCATTGTCAATTAAAGATAGAGAGAGGTTAGGACAATATCTAGTGTATTTCCATTCTTTAGCCTAATTGTCCACTTCTTAAAGTCATTTTATAAGATTTTGGTCCCCCTAATTTATTCTTGCAATAAATGTTGTCATGTGTATATTAATCTCTCTCTTATCCAATAATTGGAGTATTGTAACAAATATTAAAATAATTGTTGTTCTTCATTAGCCTAACTTCATTAGAACTAATTACTGAAAACTATGTAGATAAAGACATTTGGATACTTATCGTGTCAAGAAATAATCAATATATACTCTATTAAAATTCCGTTAAGTATTTGAAATCTTGTTACTATTTTCACAACGATTAACTTCATTGACGACTATTTTCTAAGTGTTGTAGAAATATTTATTCTTAGATGAGCCATATTTTTTAAAATTTAAATTTTCATGACAGTCACGACAGCTGAAATTTTATGGTAGTAACAACACAACAAACATCTTTCTAGATATATGTACTTTTCAAATTTAAATTTAAACATAATGTGTCCTCTCTAAAGGATTAAGCTTCCAGTTGGAGTAACTCAATTCTATTTACTTGCTGTTTCTACTGGTTGTTATTAATCTTCAACATGGTGTTAGAGCAGAAAAGTGTTTTGAGTTCAAGTCTAGTACCATCTGTTCATGAATTATGTGTTTGCCATGCTTTCGATTGAAAAAAATTGAATCTGGTCTGTACATGGAAGTTTTAAGTCAAAAATATCTTCTCTAATGAGTTAAACTTCTAATATGGTTAAAAATGTAGATAAATCATGATTAGACCACCCAAAATTTTACCCAAAAAAAAAAAAATAATAATAATAATAATTGTTAGGAGGCTGAACAGGTTTTTATGAAATGTAGACCTTGCCGACATAGGCGAAGAACAGGACAATAGTTCATAGAGGCATTTTCAAGAATGTCCAATTATAAGGGTTGGAGAAGAACAGGACAATAGTTCATAGAGGCATTTTCAAGAATGTCCAATTATAAGGGTTGGAATTGAAAAGTGTACTTTTTTTATAATCTTTGCAAAAATGTCCAATTTTCATATCAAAATGTCTATTTTACCCTCATGAAAAGATTAATCAATTTTATATCGCTTTGGCACAATTTTTAAGAAGAGCAAATAACTTCTACTAGAAGGCACAATAATGATGCTATTACCTAGGTAAGTCCACTTGCTTATATTTTTAATTATATTTTAATCAATTATTTTAGAACAAATGAAGAAGAAGCAAAAATTCCATTACCATATACGAAGAAGTATATGATTCCAACTTCAAAGAAATTATTTTAAGAAATTTACTGTGGTAGAAATTTGAAGATGATTAGGCTTTCATCATTTATCGGTAGAAGGTATATTTCTTTGAACTCTATTTTTTCGAACTCTCATTTTTTTTGATAAGTTTTATTTAGTAGTAGTTGTTGTATATGTTCAAATCTCAATTTTTTGATAAAGTATTTTTTCCCTTGGACGAAATTATCCTGAGTATATATTTTTCGTACCATTCATCTTAAATAACTTAGTTAGATAATATACTTCTATATTTAGAATATTATTTATGGTGGAATAAATTCTTGCAAAAATGGTGGTTGAAGTTGAAGAAGATGATAAATGCATGAAATCCCGTCATTTCATTCTCGACATTTTATAAATGTCAATAATGATTATAAACGTCGAGAATGATATTTATACTATCATTCTCGACACTGTTAAATGTTGACAATAACATTAAAAATTTGAGTAAGTTGGTAAATTTTCGTGTAGAGTGATTCACATATTGCATGCAGGTAGCATTTTCGTTTTCGATTTTCATTAGTGGTTAACAGTATTGTTGTTTATGACATGCAGCTATGGGAGATGTTAAGAGATTTGTTGTCTCGTATGGTGGTAGACTCGTCAACATAGACGACGGGTGGAAGTGGTTAGGGAACCGAACAACATCAATTGTTGTTCGACATGATATTACATATGAAGAGCTTGTACATAAATTATTTGAGAAGCTGAATGTTGATAGAATGAAGTTCCGAATTCAATTGAAATTTACAGTTCCAAACATAAATATACCCCCAGCTGATGTAGTCGACGATGAGGATTTGCAATGGTTTATGTCTGTTCACACAGAAGCGGCGTTGTGTGTAATTGCAGATGAATATAATGCTAGAGAGCACGAACTGCATGTCGGAGTTGAGCATTTGTCACCAATAGAAGATGCATTGTGTGAACGCGATGAAGTCGGTATGTGCGAACTACAAGAGCCACAAACGATTGATAATATGGATGAAAGTTTAGGTGAAGGCAATTTGTTTATTCGAAATGCAATTGAGTCGATTGATGAAGAGGACATTGTGGAGAATAAGATATTCTTTAGCAAACGACAGTTACACACAAGGCTTCAACTTAAGGCTTTGAAAAAGAAGTTTCATTTCAAGGTTAAAAAGTCGAATCCTAGATCTCTTACTGTGTGTTGTGTCGATACTACATGCTATTGGCTAGTACGAGCTTCTAAGATAAAAACTTCAGAAATCTTTACGATTCGAGAGTACATACCTGAGCACACATGTTCTCTAGACGTTCGACAAAATGCACAAATTTACGCAACGAGTGCAATAATTGGGCATCACATAATGCGAAGGTTGGACGATGCAAACCAATCATACGTTCCTGCGGGTATTATTGGGGATATGGAACGTGAGTTTGGTGTACAGATTACCTACAACAAAGCGTGGAGGGCTAAAGAGAAGGGACTTCGATTTCTTCGTGGTACACCCGAAGAAAGTTTCCAGAAATTGCCATCATATTGTCACATGTTCACCGAGAAAAATCCAGGAACTATTGCACACATTGAACTCGACTCGAATAATAGGTTCTTGTACTTCTTCTTAGCGTTGGGCCTAGTGTACGTGGTTTTCGAGAACACATGAGGCCAGTAATTTGTGTTGATGGAAGTCATTTGAAGGGCTAATATAAGGGAACACTACTAGTAGCTGCAGCGCAAGATGCTAACCTACAAATATATCCTCTTGCGTGGAGTGTTGTCGATGGGGAAACAAATGCATCGTGGTATTGGTTCTTTGCAAAGTTGAAAGATGTCATTGATGATTCAAACCAGCTAGTGTTTGTGTTGGACAGGAAGAAGAGTATTAAGCAGGCAATTACGAGGTTGTTCCCACTTTTTCACCACGGTGCCTTCATCTGGCATATCGAGAAAAATCTTATTTCAAGGTATAGCAGTAGCAATGTCATCTTCTTATTCAAGCGGGCAACGCTAGCATACCGCGTATCGGAATTTGATCAGTTTATGACACAGATAAGAACCATTCGACTGTCAATGGCATCTTACTTGGAACGTGCCGGTATATCCACCTGGTCACGGGCACATTTTGTTGGTAATCGGTACAACGTTATGACGAATAACATTGCGGAGTCACTGAATTCAGTCCTAAGGCGACAAAGAAGTTTCCCTATAACCTCGTTAATCGAAAATATTATGTCATTGATGCAACGATGGTTCTACGAGAGAAAAAGTGCATCCACGAAATGTAGTACGACTGTGACACCAAAAATTGATGATGAATTGAGAAAATCATTTGACGTCGGTGCAACTTTACCAGTACGAAATTTGGACGAACTCGTTTTTGAGGTAGGTATAGCTACCGAACTTTGTATTGTCGACCTTATAGGTAACACATGTTCATGTCGAGAGTTTCAAATGCGACAAATCCCATGTTCACATGCATCCCGAGCTGCTTGTGCAAAAGAAAAATCATTGTATGATTTGTGCTCCTCTTACTACACCACAGAATATTGGCGAGCTGCGTACAATGAAGTTCTTCACTCCGTTGGCCGAGAGTCAGATTGGGTTGTTCCTCAGTCTATTCGTTCCGTCGAAGTTTTGCCCCCGAATATACGTAGAGCACCAGGTCGACCTCCTACCCAACGTCAACGGTCAAGAACTGAAAGGTCCACGTTGAGACGAAAATGCGGCCGATGTGGGGGTTCTGGACATAACAGACAAACATGTCAGAATTCGACATCTTTAAGTGACACGTATACTTGAATGACATTGTGTATTCTGATCGTCAAATGTCCTGATAACATGAATTATCAATGTTTTGAATTTTTTTCTTTTGTATTACTTGCTTTCTACCTCTTATTTTAAATGTTGTTGAATATATTTTTGACTTTTATTTCTTTCTGTTTCTTTCTTCGTTCTCTCTTGATATCATTTATTTGCAATTGCTTATTGTAAAATTAAGTTTGTAATATATTTTGAATCCTTTATACGGATTTCTCCCATTTTTTGTGATTTTTCTCTTATATTATTCCAGTCGTTCAAAATTTTATAGCGCACAAACAAGAAAATTCGTATGGGCATTCACTAAATACAAACAACGCTTCATTTTTGAATGTCATACTGGATACAAACAAGAGAGGTCAGGTTTGCGGTATAACTACCAACAAGGGAAATGGTGTTTACATATATTCTTATGAACATTTCACTACGATATCATTTTGTTCATCATATAAGTGAATAAGTACATATCTATTTCATCACTGAGATTTTCTTAATCATTGTAGACACAATGTGGTAATGGATACAAAAGCAACCTATGAATGACTCGTTCTCCTAAGTCATTGGACCAGACAAAATGGTAATCACAACAAAAGGAAGCCATAACTCCAATACATATCGTAGACAACTATTATACAAAATGGTGATCACCCAAAAAATTATCCATCACCTATATGGATTTTATAGCACTACTATATGCACGTAAACATTTCACTTACGATGACTGCATCTTCTACATATCCTCTACGACGGACAAAAAGGACATATCACTGTCGTACTCCTCGTCGAAGCTTATGATGATCACATCTTCATTTTCGATGAGAACTGCTCCAACATTTTCATCCAACAACACATGATGTGCTTCCGGTTGGACCGGTACTGGGACGATCTCACGATGAACTTGAATTGGTTCAATTTCGTCGATTAGATTCGAAAAAGGGATTGGTTGAAGGCAAACCCTACGATGGCGGTTCGAAGGTTGACGAACATATGGAACAAAAATATTGCTTTCATCATCCGAGTCCGAGTCAATGATGATCGGGTTGTCCGCGGACGACCCAGGGGGGTCGAAAGTGATAGTAACATCAAGAACAGGAGTATGTTGAGTTGATGAAGACATAATCAATGGAAAAACTAACTAGTGCTATGACTTTGTTAAATTCTCGTATGTACATATTTAAGTAAAGTTCAACATTTTATACTGGAGAAACACTTATCCGTTGAATGCACGATAAGATATCTCACCAATCAATATGGTTGAAGTCATTGATGGTGATTATTTTACAACTTTTTTTCACATCAATATGGTTGAGAACGTACTTGTGCTTGGCATACCAACTTTAACTGCTATAGTAATTATAAAGCTGCTTGCTACAGTTTTCGCAGTTAATACACCATTTGGTTGCCTTCACTCTTAGTTAAATTTGGTTGGATCATATTTATGTTGACATTTGATGCCTTCTCGACATTTGTAATGTCGTTATCGACATTAAATAGCTGTTAATCTCGACACTTGACATTACGGATGTCTAGAACGACACTTGGACCAAAATACGATATTTCTCTACATTTCTTCGATTTTAGGACGTTTGATACGTCGTTCTCGACATTACATAGTTGTGAATCTCGACACTTGATATTTCATTTGTCTAGAATGACACTTCGAGAACATATTACATACCACCATATAAATCGAAATATGCAAACCACTGTGTAAACCAAAATACATTTTACGTGCCACCACATAAAACCAAAATTCATGTTATGTACCACCACATAAAGCAAAATACATATTGCAAAAGGCGGTATCATGAACCGGCTGATCATCAACAGTTACACAAGCAAAGTACAGCTAAGCCACGACAACTGTTTCACTATCGGGGATAAAGAAAGTATTCGTTATTCAAAAAATCGACCGCAATCTTTCTTCTGTATATTGAAATTCTCTCTGCTGAAACTGATTCTATTGGATGCCCAAGAATGAAGCATTCTATATACTTGAGTACAAAAATTATACAATTTGGCCTGTACAATAAATGATTTTTCGTTAGTCGAAATTAGTATATACAATAGATTAACTACGGTAGTAAATAACAAGAGTTGAAATGCTCACCCATTGTTCGCACATGGTAGATAAGGTATAATCTCCATCTTCATTGGATCATTTATATGTTTCTTTATATCTCGTCTGGTGGACAGGGGTTCACACTGCAATAATGTTTGAACGACTGTGCATGTTGCTTCTGCGTGAGCCTTGATTGCATCAAGTGTGTGAACATTATTGCTGCAGTCGTATATGTAGAATTTTCATTCACGAATATTGACCAGAAACAGATAACATTCATCGCTTGGATATGCACTTGGAATTAATAAATACTTGCATCCCATCCACGAACGACCAACTACAGGCAATGTACCGTTGACATAACCTTGTAGGCGAGTTCCATCTGATTCACCTGTCTTGTTATATTCCATGTGCCACCTCATTTGCTGACAACACTCCTCTTCAAATTAAAAATCCAAAATTACATATTTTTTATTGACGAGAATACAATCTTCATTCATACGCTGCCTCAATAACTTCAGCTCCAGCTCAATATGCTAATACAATAAATATATGTAACATATATTATACATATTAACTACGAAATTAAATTTATTGTGATTGCAAACCTTCACTCACCGCAATATTCAGATCCTTCGTCGGATCCATTAAACTTTTTAGCATGTCTCTTTCATAGACATTGCCACGGCCATCGTCCAAATATGCACTGTATAACATAATTTAAATTACTGTCAAATAATTCAACAAATAATTTTTCACATAGATATAATAATGTGTAGTATTCGGACTATTCAGAATGAGTTACATTTGTTACCCAGATTTAATTCTCGATATCCAATTCCTAATGTCTTTGTACTTGTTCATGTCGTAGTCTTCTAAGGGACGACCTGTGGATGATGAAGCATGTGTGTATTTCATCTTCTTTTCCCTTTCTCTTCTCCGCATGTCAACACTTTCTGCTGGTTGAGACGTTGATGTCTCATGCAGTTGAACAGTAGGAGTTGGACTTGCATAGAGAGGAACATCCTGCTGCATGGAACCTATAATGGCTTCCATGTTGGATTCCCAGTTAGATAATCTGTTTAGCATATTCTCATTCTTTTCGTCAATGTAAGATCTGACAGAACATAAACTTGTATCAATATAAGACTGTATGTGCTCCTGTTGCTGCTGGAATAATTCTTCTTGTTTTCGAAGAATCACCTGATAATGGGCTTCTTGTTGTTGCGATTCCTGGGCCATATGAGTGCTAAACATATTTGATAGAGAATTATCCATGTATGACTGCATACCACATAGCATGTAATCTTGCATCGATTTGTTATGTTGTTCGAACAGTTGCTTTTGGCTTTCAAGGATATCCTGGTTCAGGGCTCTAGATTCTTCAACAAATTCTGCCTTCAAGTTGCCACACGGACTGGACACATCTGATATCGTATGTTGCCTGTACATACCCAACATTTCTTCCATTCGATCTTCAGTTACATATCTGGAGGCACCAGAAGCAGAACTAGGCCCAACTCCAGTTGAAGTTCTCGATGTGCCACGACTGGTCGTTTCTTGCACATGAATGTTATCCGGTATTTGTGGTACTACATTATCTACATCTCCAGTGACAATGACATCTAATATATTATGTTCATCGTCAGCCGGCAGAGAAAGATTTGTGTACCAAGGTGTTTGTAATTCTTCCTCTGTAGGCTGCAACACTGCAATGACTTCGATCTGTAATCATAGCAAAAAATCAGAATCCATTTGTTTAATTGAACTTATTAATAATAAAATGCGAATGTCATTGTACGTTGAAAATAAAAAATTCATACATCTTGAGTATCCAAAAATTGCTTAACAACCGATTCCTTCAGTATAGTATTAGGCCTCCAATTATAGATTCGTGGAATCTACACCGTTCTGTATTTACGGCGACCAAACTTTTATTCAATTTGTGGAAACGCTTCATATATCCAATACTGCAACGTAAAAAAAGAGAAATGTGATGTATAAATTTTATTCTTTGTACAAAGAAATTATACATAATACGTAAGTAATTAGAATAGGAACATAATACCTGAAATGCGAGTGGATAACCTTGTAATGCATACTTACATTCTGTCTGTCCATTCTATTGCATCCTTATTATTCTTTCCAATTGTAACTCTTTCAAAGAATTTAACAAAACGAAATATGCTATTCGGCCCCACGGATATGTAAGGAACTCATCCAGATGTTCAACCATGCCCAGAGTTCTATAATCAACTTGTCGTGAAGTCGGTTTCAACACACACTCAACCAACATATCTAATCCCAACTTAAATTTATCTTCTGTATTTTCACACATGTGGAAAGTTTCAAAAAGCATCATATTGCTAATTTTTTTTGTGCCATTGATGTATTGATTTCTAAGACGATGGTTATTATAATCAATTTCTACGAATGGTTCATGGCAAGGTAGTCCAGTAATGAGGCAAAATTCTTGCAAGCCAAACCTAACAAGATGGTCATCTAACCGTACCCAAACTTCATTGTTTTTGCCACAATGCACAAGTCTCATTATAAATTCATGTACCAACTTGCTAGTAAATTGTTCTTCATCTCCTTTGAAAACAGCTTCATATATAAATCCATAAAAATTACTACACATCAAATAACATTGTTGATTTGCATCTATGAAATTTATAAAATCTTGAACGTATTGACGATTTGGATACTGAAGGATGGTAGCAGAAAATCATTGTTTCGAAGAGAGAACGTATTCTAAAGACACCTGCATCAATTATACAAGAATTAATATTTTTAAGGAACTGTAATAATTTTTTCAAGAATTTATATTTTCATTTGATTGTACACATCTATTATAGTAAAACAAATTACTGTTAATTGTACAATTAATTATTTAAGAATTAATATTTCCAAACAAATATAATTTTTTTCACGTCTTTATACTAAACAAAATTAAAATCAAAAATTAATATTTTAAACAAAATGTGATATTTTTGGTTATAAAACATATTACCAAAAAAAATAAATAAATAAATAAAATTTTGCTAGAGAGTGTCACGGAGCAAGCTGCTCCGTGACACTCTCATATTACTAAAAAAAAATAATAAAAAAAAATAAAAAAATCTCGCTAGAGAGTGTCACGGAGCTTCATATTACTAAAAAAAAATAATAAAAAAATAAAATTTCGCTAGAGAGTGTCACGGAGCAAGCTGCTCCATAACACTCTCATATTACTAAAACTATAAATAAATAAATAAATAATTTCGCTAGAGAGTGTCATGGAGCAAGCTGCTTCGTGACACTCTCATATTACTAAAAAAAAATAAAAAAATAATAAATTTTCGCCAGAGAGTGTCACGGAGCAAGCGTGACACTCATATTACTTAAAAGAAAAAATTCTGCTAGAGAGTGTCACGTGACACTCTCATATTACTATATAAAAAAAAAAATATTTGCTAGAGAGTGTCACGGAGCAAGCTGCTCCCTGACACTCTCATATTACTTAAAAAAAAAAATTCTGCTAGAGAGTGTCACGGAGCAAGCTGCTCCGTGGCACTCTCATATTACAAAAAAAAAAATAATAATAATAATAAATTTCTGCTAGAGGGTGTCACGGAGCAAGCTGCTCCGTGGCACTCTCATATTACAACAAAAAAAAAAAAAGAAAAAAATAAATTTCTGCTAGAGAGTGTCACGGAGCAAGCTGCTCCGTGACACTCTCATATTACAAAAAAAAAAAAAATTCTGCTAGAGAGTTGCTCCGTGACACTCTCGAAGTGTCACAGAGACAGCGTCTCCGTGACACGGAGAGCAGCTCTCTCCGTGTCACTGAGAAGCGATCTCCGTGACACGGAGATCAAGTTTTTTCGAGTAAATTGTAGTTGAAAAATATTTTTCTTTCAAGATATTCAACTAACTGCTAAATAGCACAAATATTAAATACAAATTTTGAATTACTTACCTTTTCTGATCAAATTAGCGTCTTTTTTGAGTGAATGTGGAAAATGTTTCCGGCTAAATGAATGTGAGAATGAAACTTGAATTAAAATGTGAAAAAAGTGAGTGAAGGAGAGTGAGTGAATGTGACAAATAATTGTAGCTAAATGTGTGGATGGGGGAGCGAATGAGAAGTAGCTAAAATTAATTAAAACGTGTGAAGAGTGAGTGAATGTGACAAATAATTGTAGGTAAATGTGTGGATGGGAGAGTTTGTTGTGTTACAATAATTGATCATAAGCAAATTTCCCTGTTCTAGTTCTCACTTTGTTTTGGGGACCCTCCTTCACTATCTTTCCCTATATATATATATATATATATATATCAGTGGTTTCTTTAAACTTTCTTGTGTTGTAATTTGACAAATTATAAATTTCTTTTTAATTCATTTTGTTCCATTAAAATTTTATATTCACAAAAAAAATATATTAAGGTTTTGTACAATTCAAATTTTATATTGAAAAAAAAATGTTTGATAAATTTCTTTAATTTATTAAAACTGATCGAGTTAATCAATTTTTCCTCACTAACTGCTAAGTAGCACGAAGTTTATTTTATTTCCACATACATGATCACATAAAATGACATATATGTTCACATATTATTGAAAACAAAAATATAAGGGATGTTAACATTTATATTGAAGCAATATATTTCTTGACATTTCACTAATTTCTTGACATTTGACGTGTAGTTCTCGACATTAAATGTCTGCTAATCTGGACACTTGACAGTACATTTGTATAGAACGACATTTCAACTAAAGTATAGGATTTCTCCACATTTCATTAGAACACTGACATCTCCTACTCCACTATATGAGATAATAAAGTTATAAACTATTTTCAACCACTGGTTTACATCCACAAAATATTACATACCACCTTACAAACAAAAATATGCAAACCACTGTCTAAACCAAAATACATTTTTCGTACCACGACATAAACCAAAATACATATTGAAAAACCACCATATAAATCAAAATAGGTAAACTTCTAAATTCTATGCATCCCTCTTACCCCTCTTGCGACCAGATCGTGTGTATGGCGTCTTTGTGTTTACACTAGCCTTCTTCAGCCTCAACGATCGAGGTCTACGTGTAGGTGGATCAGCTGCCATCGAAGGTCCAGAAACGATGCTATCATGAACTAGTTGATCATCAATGGTCACACCAACTGTAGGTACAACGGCTAGTGCCTCTTTCACAATATCACAAGCAACATATACTGACCCAAGTACTCCAACCCCACCTCCTGACGTTATGGACACATCAGGGATATTGCAAACAACTGGTTCGGTTGCCTCTCCGACATCCTGTCTGTCTGCAAAAATATTGGGAGTGAAAACATCATGTCGGGGCTCGTCTCCACTACGATTGTCATGACCAAATCCACCATTCTCAGCACCAACATTGTGTTGTCCAATTTTTGTAGCAACTTCATCAAACCTTCGTCGAAGAACATTCATCTCATCAGTGACATGATTTCTCAAACCACACACATGACCTCCCAGATCATTTTGGAGACTAGCGAATCTTGTGTTTATTTCTTTCCTCAAATCCCCCATCTTGCTCTCAAATGCCTCATGTTGCTCATTCAAGATAACTCTTATCTCATTTAAAGACACATGTCTTTCAACGATGGGATCCCCATACTCTTCTTCTCTGCCTTCAACCAGATGCAAACCTCGATGACGAGGTCCACCTTTGTTGCCTCTCTGGGATTTATTTGGTCGATGGTTGTTGTCATCATTCCGTATGACATCATCGTCAACTGGACAAGCTTGTATTTCTATTGATTGAGCAACAAGATCATCTAAAACGGGGTCGGCTGCGTCTTCCAACGGAACTAGATCGACGAAGTACGGCTGTAATTCTTCTGCAGCAGTTGCTCGCAGCGTAGCCCACAAGTGCACCTACAGGAGAAGAAAAATAGGCAAAATGAAAAAATATATATTGCGGAGTGTAAGGCAATTAAGTATGTAAATCGCCTACATTTGTCTTCTCAAAAAAATCTGAATATGTTCGGGAATGAGGTTGTTTCATGCCAGACCACCGCAACATCCTCGGGACATCGTCACAAGTCTTACTCGAGAATCGAGCTCCCAACTCCGGAATTGCCTCGTACGTCCAAATTTGCATGACATTTGTAACAGTAATAACCATATTTGGAGATAAATAACAATGAGCGATGAGAAGAACTGAAATGAACCAAAATAGATGTATACCTGGACAGCAAGAAGGAATCCGTACAATGTGTAAGTCATCCTATCATAATCATTCACTTTTACCATGCCGCCTTTCTTCCCCATCCACGTAGTAGTGATTTGATGAGAAGTTGAAAACATACTGTCCCCCATGGGTAGGCATTGAAAAAATCCAAGTCGTCAACGATGGAAAGAGTTGTCGAATTTATTCCTACATTTCGATCTCTTGAATTAAATACCCCTTCAATAATTAGTGCCAACCCAAGCTTGTAACGATATTTACGGTTGGCACATTTCAAAAAAGCTTTCTCCAGGTCGCTACACGTTATCCGGTCCATATTAGCAAACATTTTATCTTGTAGACGGGTTTTCTCTAGGATTTTGTCAACTTCGGCACCTTTAGGCACTGGACTACACTTCAAGCCAGTAATTAGTGTGAACTCCGGTAGTCCAAATCGTGCAAACCTTTGGTTCACCTTGAACCAAGCCTCAAACCGATTTGTTTACCATTTCATGAATTAATTGAGCAGATAGTTTCAGCTCCGGTAACCTTGCAACATGTCCTATACAACTGTCCTCCAACTGACGCTTTTGCTGTGGATCCAATTTGTTGAGGACAATTGATATATATTTTGTATTGCTCACTTGCGACACATGGGCCGGAACACGTTCTTCCTCCGAAATATTATATCGGTGTGTCATACTCATCTACAAATGAAAACAATACTTTAACAAATGCTATGAGAACGTACAAATGAAATCAAATATAACATTCTTGTTAAAATGCAGTGCAAGAAAAATAATTTTTACAATACAATGGTTTGATAAAATATCATATCTAAACTAAGTTGTTTAATTGTTGAAATTAAAACAAACCTGACTTCTGATCTGAAGCTATCATGTAACCATTTTATAGTTGATCACCATTCAAATAGTTCAAAAGTATATACACAATCTTCTACAATTTCATTAAGTTGATTGCCTAATTTAGATATGCAAATAAGTCGAAAATACAATATTCTTTAACAAAATAAATAACAACAACATAGCCTTGTATTAAATAAATTTAGAGCCAACTACAACAGACCATACGCAAAATCAAGTATACATGACGTAAGATTTGACAAAGTTTTCTATCTGTTATCAACCTATCACAGTTTTCCTCCATAACCATCAATATACAAATGCAACCCTCAACAAGATGCAGAACAAATTTGATGCGAAAATGAAGCCATTTAGTTGCTGATGAGCATTCAAACAGTCTTAAGAGTGTATAATAGCAACACAATCTGTGTCATTTCATCATGTTTATTGCCTAACTCAGATGCGAAATATGCCTCAAATGGAGTATTTTTCACTTCGTACTAGTGTTATTTATCATCCAGCAGCATCAAATTTAGTTCACATATAGATTATATCTCAAAAGCAAAAATACAATAATAGGGACAACAGAAAGTACAATCATTTTCCTGATTTCTTTAAACACTTTACCTCTTCAACCTTTTTGACAGTATCTCACATGTACCACTTTTTATCTCAAATTGTATCAACGGTTAGTATTTGCTCGCCCAATAGAATAGAGACACTCAGTGACCTTGACATCAATTTATGTTAAACTAGCCAAATCTTAGGATTTAGGAAGAGGGGAGACTTGGGGAAGTGAAAAAAATAACGAAATAAAAAAAAAAATAACGAAATAAACTTACTCTATAGCACTGGATTCTGAAGTGTGGTTGGCAAACGACAACTGGGAAAATAAGAGAGAAATGGACAGGCTCGTTGTCGGCGAGTTGGGTCAGAGTGAAGATTGAGAGACTGAGAGTGAGAGTTAAGAGGACTTAGTTTAGGGCTTCTTTTATTTTTTCATTCCCCCGCCTTCATTTCTTTTTTTTTTTTTTTTTTTTTTTTTGTATTCGGGTCGAGTTATATCAGGTTTTCCATTTTTTACCCATAACTCGATCCAACTCGATCCGCACCTACTTGACCCATAACCCGACCCACACCTATCCAACCCAGGCATTTAATGCTGATTGACATTTCTACGTTGATTGACATGAATAGTGATGTGGAAAATTTTGAATTCTTGTGTGAAAATAATATTTCTAAGAGGGGTATTTTCGTCTACATAATTTGAAAATGGACATTGACAAAATTGTGGACATTTTGGCAAATGATTCGTTGAAAATGGACATTACGTGAAATTTCCTCTAGTAGTTCATAAGATGCACTTGTCTTTTTATTGTAACTAATCTATGTTACGTGCGATGCACGAGCTGTGCATGAATTATGATTTGGTTAGCGTATGTATTGAATATGTTTGAAAAAATATATATGAAGATGAAATTATTGGCAAGGAACTAACCAGCAAATAATTGAGATAATAGTATACATATTGATGTGTTTGATTGTGATTTGTAAATTCGTCGTAGTTAATCATGTGTTTGTATTAAAGTCAATGATAGATAAGAGAGAATAAAAATTAACTTCATTACTATCGTTAATTACAGAGTATAGCCAAGATAAAATAAATAATGACTGGTTTTCGAGATGGATGATGTAGGGATTACATATACATCATTTGTCATTACTTCTTTTGTTTGGCAGCTTTTGATCAGGAAATTATACATACTTAACAAAATAGAATTTCAAGATCAAATTTACAATGAAGACAAATTTCATAAAACGAAATAGCAAAAAATTCACAAAACCACACAGCACTCTTGTTAAAAGATTGGTTTTATAGAAAATGTTTCGACTACCATTTACTCCAGTTTTTCTTTGTGAGCAAATGGATTTGTGTCTGAACTTATGTTTTCATCACAAGCCACTTTTGAGCTGGAACTCTCATTGGAAGATTTGAAAAGGGCCTTTTTCGCTGGAGGTGACCAATCTTCTTGATAGTCTGTACTAACGTTTTTCCCAACTGCTGTAACCACAACCTGACTGTCAACGTTTGTTTGGATTTTTGGTTCAAGACTTGCATGATCAATATTTGCTTAAATTTTTTGTTTTGGACTTGGATGGTCTAAGTCTGTTGTAGAGATGATATCAAATCTATAACTTGATGAATTAGGTTCATTTTGCGATGCTATTAAGTAGAAAGCTCATTCAATATCCTACATTTTTTTAATGGTTGCTTCAAAATTTGTCTTTGAACCTTGTGTTAATTTTAAATTGTATTAATATTATTCTACTAAAATATGTACTGAATGACAATGTTTGAGATAAGTTGGATTTCTTGCAAATTTGGTTTCCTCTATCAAAAACTGTGAAATTGTAAATAATAGTTTCTCAACTGGTTCACCAATTGCATTTGCACTGATTGATCCCGTGACATCTAAAAGTGCACATATGCTCTAGCCCTAAAGTGAAAAAGAAATTAGTATTAATAGATGCAAGAGTAATAAAGAGAAGTAGAAAGGTCATGCATAAGTAAATATTTTACCTTCACCAAATGAAGTAAAAAATGAAAAGTAATTAATTGTTAGTGTATTTTACCGAGAAATAGCTTTGGAATTGAGATTCTTGCAAAAAATACAAAAATATGTTTCTCCAAAATCAATATTCGACCGTCTAAAACAGTTGTTGCAGGCCATGTACCGAGATTTGCTATCAATTTTGTCTGTTGTTGCTGTGCCATTTACCCAATAAAACTTTCGCTATTACCGGTATGGATATACTTAGAGAAATTACAAAGAAAAATAAATAATATGATTGAGTATATCTTGTAATATATATCTTTATATTAGGAAATAAATACATATTGAATAGCATATGTAACCTTAATATTACCGCTAGAAGGCGTCCCTGAAGATTTTGAATAGGAGTAAATTTACTTCGACAAGTAGAGAAAGATTTGTGGGGCTTTTGTCCATCTATGATTTTTTCAATACAAAATCATCTATTTTAATGGAATTTTGTTCTTACCATAATCAAAAGATATGAAGATAATTAGTAACTCCAATAGTAATGTGTGGAAAAATAATTGAGAGGGAGAAAAAAAAAAGAATAATAAAATATAACACTTTGTACATACCATTCTGTCATTTGTTTTACTGCGTTGAAAGGTGTATTTATGAAGAAAGTGGAACGGGCTTTCATGGACAATTTTAAACCTATATAATATCAATATGGAGAATGTGTAAAGGATGTAATATATGCCTTAAGAGGAGTTTAAATAATACAATAAAACATACCAAAGAATGATGTAACCTTTAGACGGTTGCAAAGATGACTGACTTTTTGTCAATAATGTCTGCTATCAGTAAGCATTCGCTGTCAACAAATGAATCCTAAAATGTAAGCACCATTGTTTTGCAATTCATGTCTAGAAGTATGATATCTTGCAACCAAGTTTGGTTGCCATCTTTGGATTGAATCAATCGTTTGGGTGTCATATCAACTACAACTGCAAGTATATATGCAAATTTGAAATGAGCCATCAAATTTTCTTTTTTCTGAACATAAGCAGTACAAATTTGAAGGAAACTATATTTCTGTAGAATCAATATATGACTATTTAATATCTATGAAATTTTGTCTTACTTAAATCAGCATCTGTATCCATGTATTGTTCGAGTTCATGAAATTGTGTCAGTTGATATGTTGAGAATACAAACTCTAGATTATCTTCATTCAATTCTTTAATACGAGTTTCTCCAGATATTGTCCATTGTAGAGAGCCAGTCGAATATCTGTAGTTTGTCGTATTGTTCTTCACGTAAGCTTTCGAAATAGTATAAACTTTTTCCAGAACAAGTTGATTCTCAAAAGCAGTGATATCGGAATCATATAAGCTAGCCTGAATAGTATTATCCTGAAAAATGATGAGGAACCATATAAATAACTGTAATATACGTGATCTTAGATTAAAAAAAAAAAACAAAAAACTAAAAGAAATGAAGAAACAATGTGTGAAGAAGAGTTACTTGAG